CCATTTTGATTAGTTTTAAAATTTTATTTTAATACAGACCTGCGAATTGCTAACCAGCTCCAACAGCCAAATGAAGTTTGGTGTTTTACTTACATGTCCTAGAAAATAGTCTAATTAGAAAAGATTGTGGTAAGATCCCTTCTGCCTAAGTTCTTGGACAGTAACAGTCCTCTTCATCTGCCCGGAGGTGAGGGTAGAGGTGGGAAAGGTGGATTGTGTTCTGGGAATCATAAGTAAGGAAAGGACAAAACCAGTGGGCCACACAGGGTTGGAATACTATCTGTTCTGCTTCCTGGCTGTGTGACCTAGAGCAAGTTGCTTACCTTTCCTGGCCTGTTTCCTCACCGCTAGTGTGGGGATAAGAGGACTAAGGTGCCTGGTGAAATGCAGGCACTTAACAAATGTTAGTTTCCTTTTCCTTTCAAGTGATAAACTCTTGCCCTGAGGGTTATGTATGCAAACATGAAATATTTATGAAAAATGAAACTTGCAAAGGAATCTCACTCAGGTTTTTTTTTTTTTTTTTTTTTGAGTCAGAGTCTCACTCTGTCACCCAGACTGGAGTGCAGTGGCATGCTCAGGGCCACCACAGCCTCGACCTACTGGGCTCAGGCGATCCTTCTGCCTCAGCCTTCCAAGTAACTGGAACTATAGGCACACGCCACCACTCCCGGATAATTTTTTGATTTGTTATAGAGATGAAGTCATGCCTAGTTAGGTGGGTCTTGAACCCGTGGGCTCAAGCAATCCTCTCACCTCAGCCACCCAAAGAGCTGGGATTATAGGTGTGAACCTCCACGCCCGGCTAGGTTTTTTTTTATGAAGCAGATAATTGTCCTCATTTGTCTTTCATGCAAATCTGTCTTTTTAGTTTTTACTTTTGGAGACAGGGCCTCACTCTGTCATCCAGGCTGGAGTGCAGAGGCCCGATCACAGCTCACTGTGGCCTCGACTTCCTGGGCTCAAATGATCTTCCTGCCTCAGACTCCTGAGTAGCTGGGACTATAGACACACGTCACTATGCCTGGCTTATTTTTTTTTTTTTTGTAAAGACAGAGTCTCACTTTGTTGCCCATGCTAGTCTTGAACTCCTGGGCTCAAGCAGTCCTCTCACCTCAGCCTCCCAAAGTGCTGGGATTAAGGCATGAGCCACCGCGCCTGGCCCAAATCTGTATTTTTCTGGACTGCACTTGGTCTGCTTATGATGTTTGTGTGCAATTCTCAGCACTGTGAGACGTGAGTGAGCTTCAACTCTCTTTGCAACTTCATACGAGCTGTAGATATTAGGTCTTGATGGTGTGATTTGGGGCGACCTAAGTGGCTAAGGCCTAGAACTGCCCCTGAGGTGTTATTTCCAAGGGCTTGTCAGAGCTGAATAGGTAATGATGTTCTAAACACAGGTGAAGGCATAGAGGCAGAGGAGAATAGGCAATAATGCTCTAAACACAGGTGAAGGTATAGAGGCAGAGGAGAATCGAGTAAGGAATTGATAAAAGATTTTCCCCCCATCATTGTCAGTCGTCTGTGTGCCTGCCAAAACTAGCCTGCATTCTGTTTTTGTACAATCCTCAAGCTAAAACTATTTTTTTGCGGGGGTAGGGGAGGGGTATATGTAAAGGGTTGTAAGGCTAGACTTGGTTCTACAACAAATACAAAAAAATCAGCCCGGCCTGGTGGCGTGTGCCTGTAGCCCCAGCTACTCGGAATGCTGAGGTGAAAGGATCGCCGGAGCCCAGGAGGTCAAGGCTGTGGTCAGGCCGTGATGGTGCCACTGCACTCCAGCCTGGGAGACAGAGTGAGACCCCAAATCAAAAATAAATAAAGTAGAATAAAATAAATAAAGAGTTATTTAAAAAAGAAAGGAAAAATATACAACTTAGAACATGTGTAGTCTGCCAAGGCTAAAGTCTTTACCAACTCGCACTTTATGGAGAAGGTTGTCGATCCCTGGTCCAGAGAGTTTGAACCATCTCAGATTAATGAAGGCAAAACATAATGATGATTGATTTTTTTCTGTTGCAATCTGATTTGTGACAACCACCCTCTGCCTGTTTTTGAAAAGCTTAATGTGTGTTACTTAGGATACATACAATCACATTTCAATATTCAAGCTCTGTTCTCTCTACCTAGGGTTATTCCAACTTTGCCCAAGGAACAGTCTCTGTTTGCTGTTCTAGAAGCAGTTCCTGTGTATGTCACCTCCTCTCTGGAGCTTCCACCTGTGCTTTTCTCTCTCACCCTAGCCCACCTGGAACAGCATATATTGGAGCTGCTGTGAAGGCACTTCCTACCTTCTCCCCTGGCCTGAAAGAAGATGGCAGGGCTCAGTTTGGGAAGAGGGTCCGAAGAGTCTTTGGCTTTTGTCTGCTTGTGACGAAACTGGGGGAGGGTTTTGAATAGTATATTTCATTGTTGCTGAAGTATGAGGCCAGGGAAGAGGGCCACAGTGGGGGCTGCAAGGCACAGACCGCGTCAAGGGAAGAAGTGGAGTCGGAATTAGACACTGAGGGATGGGCATTGTTTGCGGGAGATGTAGGCACAGGTGCAGGGGTGTGAAGGAGTGTCTTGTGAAGTGCCCTGCCCGGAGTGGAGACTTTCATAGCAGCGTGAGATGAGAGTGGGTCATCATTGTGACTGATTTATTGGGAATCTTAAGGTGTATGGAATTCCAAATCCAGCAGTATCAAGGGGTCATTGTGGCTTATTCTTATTTATTTTATTTATTTTTTTTGAGTTGGAGTCTCACTCTGTCACCCAGACTGGAGTGCAGCGGCCGCTCCCGGCCACCGCAGCCTCGTCCTGCTGGACTCCGGCGATCCTTCCGCCTCAGCCTTCCGAGTAGCCGGAATTACAGGCATGTGCTACCACGCCTGGCTGATTTTTTGATTTATTGTAGAGATGAGGTCTCGCTGCCCAAGCGGGTCTTGAACCTGCAGGCTCAGGCAATCCAATCACCTCAGCCTCCCAAAGGCGTGGGATTACAGGCTGAGCCACCGAGCCTGGCTTTCTTATTTTTTAAAACAAGCATTTTTATTTTTACTTTTTGAGCTGGAGTCTCACTCTGTCACAGTGACATGATCATAGCTCACTGTAGCCTCTACCTCCTGGGCTCAGGCAATTCTTTAGTCTCAGTCTCCCAATTAGTTGGGACTACATGTGTGTTCCACTGGGCCTGGTGAATTTTTTGATTTTTTGTAGATATGAGGGTCTCTCTATGTTGTCCACGCTGGTCTTGAACTCCTGGGATCAAGTTATTCTCCGGCTTTGTTCTGCTGAAGTGTTGGGATTATAGGCTGTGAGCTGCTGTGCCCAGCCAGTGGCTTATTTTTAAGAAGATCAGTGTGTGTGTGTGTGTGTGTGTGTAAAATCACAATGAAATTGGTTAAAATTAGTTAAGATGCTGGACATTGAGTTAAGGACATCACATGGACTATCTCATTTAATCCTCACAACACCTCTGCGGGGAAAGGTATGCCCAGTGTGCAAAAGTGAAAGCTAGACTTAGAGAGGTCCAACAACCTGCTCAAGGTTCTGAAGTTGGTAACAGGCGGAGCCAGGATGGCCCGACCTGGAAGTCCAAGCTCTTAACTCTTGCCTTGTTAAAACAAGCTCAACATAAAACATTCTCACAAGGCAGTAAAGAAAAGAGGGAAAAAGCAGCTGGAATCCTGCCTTCCAGAAATGACCACTTGGAGTGAACATTCTATTCTATCTTTTGATGCATATACACAGCGATATGCATGCATTTTGCATAGCTTGAGCCATCCCCTGCCTGCAAGCTTCATGCAAATGGCACCACACTCTATGTCCTAACCTCGCCCACACTTAAAACTAGATTTATTTATTTTTTAATTCAATAGGTACATGTGCAGATTTGTTACATAGGAATATTGCATGATGGTGAAGCTTGGGCTTCTGTTGAGCCTGTCACTCAGACGGTGGACATGGTACCCAGTGGGTATTTTTCAACCATTTCCCATCTTCCTCCCTTCTTTAGGAGTGTCACAGTGTCTGTTGTACCCATTCCTGTGCCTATGTGCATATTGTGTTAAGCTCCCACTTTTTAGGAAGAATACGTTGTATTCAGTTTCTGATAATTTGCTTGGATTACTGGTCTCTAGTTGCATCCATGTTGCTGCAAAGGACACAATTTTGTTCTTTGTTTTGGCTGTATAGTGTCCCGTGGTGTGTATGAAGGGGACCCAAAAGATGGAATTTATTTATAAAAACTTGTGTATTTATTCTTACATGTGCAAACTTCAGTCACCTTCAGAGTACTTTCCGTTTGATGTAATGCACCTATCGAGATGCTTTTTCAATTACTCAAAACAGTTTTTGAATTCGTCCATTTTCGTCTTTTAGTGTTTTTGCTGTTTTTTGTTTCACTTCTTCCACATGGGCAAAACATTTCTCTTTGAGTACTTTATTCATCCAGAGAAACAACAAAAAAACTCACTTGGGGCAAGATCAGGTGAATAGGGAGGGTGGGGCATGGGACTCATGCCATTTTTGGTCAAAAACTGCTGAACACTCAGTGCAGTGGGGGCAGGTGTGCTTGTAAATCACCCATCATGAAATGGGCAAATGTGTTGAAAGAATCTCCCAAAAAAATTCACTGAAGCTGAACACACCCTTTCACAACACTTGCTAGTATACTGTTGCCAATGGGTTCCTAGAACACTTACCTAGTGGGGGAAAGCTGTACTACAAGGGAACCACCCTCTAAAAGTTAATTCTGGGTTTTTTTGTGTCCCCTCATGGTGTGTACCATGTCTTCCTTACCCAGGCAACTGTCGATGAGCACCTAGTTTGGGTCCATGTAAAACTAATTTTCATAACTGAATGTATACATTTTACTTTATAGCTGTACCCTCCTCCACATAACCCTTTCTCTCTAGATCCTTGTCGGTCTCGGAGCAGGACTATAATTTACTGAAGCCTTTAAAAAAAAAACAACAAACGTTTGAACGGAGTCTCATGCCTTTCTCTCTTCTTTGCAGCATGCCCTTGATGCCGACAACGCGGGAGTCAGTCCCATAGGGAACTCTTCCAACAACAGCAGCCACTGGGACCTCGGCAGTGCCTTTTTCTTTGCGGGAACCGTCATCACCACTATAGGTACCGTTTGTTGACTAACATCTCTTCCTCTACAGAGCATCCCGTGTCATGGTGCTTAGGCAGTGTTTTATTCTCCTAGAATACAATGGAGCTTGAGGTTCAGAGGAGACTCACACAACACTTTGATTAATGCTGTTGTTGTGGCTTTCAATAAAAGGCAAAGCAGGATGAAGTATCTCTTTCTAGCATGAAAAGCTAGCGAATCTCACGAAGAGATTTGAGTAGAAAATGTGACTTGGTCAGTTGAACTCAGGTTGCTCATTTGTGCTCAACTTCCTTTTTAAAGAGTGTCCTTCTTATTAAAGTTACATAGGAAAGAACCAGAAGGTTCTAGAAGGTTTGTTATGAAAACCAGCAGTCGTCTCTGCCTGTCTTCCCTTTTCTCAGATCCCAGAGATAGCCACTTCCATCTCTTTTGATTGATGATTTTACGATCCATCCCCATGTCTTCAAATATGCTTGTCTTACCACTCTTGGGATTTTCAGTTTTAGGGATGATTTCCTGATTTCCTATTGTGGAAGATGAAGAGTTTGTTCTCTTCCTTCCTCTCTCTCCCACTGCAGAAGGGCCCTCATCCTGTCCTCCCCATGTAAACTAGATAGGAATGGGATGTTTTCACTATTTTGTCTAGGCAAGTGCTCATTGCAATTGATCATATCGTGAACTATAATTACTTCTTTCCTACACCGTTTTTTGTCTCATTTCTTTGTGTGTGTCTTGTTTGCTGACACTTGGGAGGCTTCATATTTTTGTCTTGGAGGTTGACTTTGTAATTATCACAGCATAAAACAACTTAGTGTCCTATTCATTAACCAGTGTGCACTAGATCTCTGTGTGAATGATGACTTTTCTCCCTCTCCTCCTCCACACAATTTTAGATAACATCATCTGTGAAATGTTTATTTTTAAATGGTTAAATATGCTATGTTTCTCTTATATGATTTGCTAGCTTTTTTTTCCATTTTATTAAATTTTATTTTATTATAGAGTTGTGGGGTACAAGTGAGGATTAACTACATAAGTAGGCTGCATGCAGATGAAGTGGGCTTCTAGCTGGTCCTCACTCCTCTGGCAGTGGACCAGGTACTCTTTGTATTGTCATGTGCCCCCCACCCTCCTCCATCCCTTTCTCCCCTAGCAGTGCCCATTGCTGATTTGTATTTCTCTGATGATTAGTGAGGCTGAACATTTTTTCTTGTGTCTGTTGGCTGCTTGTATTTTGTCTTTTGAGACGTGTCTGTTCATGTCCTTTGCCCACCTTTTAATGGGGCTGTTTGTTTTTCTCCTTTTACTTTGCTTGAATTCCTTGTAGATCTTGGATGCTAGGACTTTGTCAAATATATAATCTGAAAATATTATTTCTTATTCTGTTGGTTGTCTCTTTACTCTCTTAAGGGTTTCTTTTGCTGTGCTAAAGCTTTTCAGTTTGATGAAGTCCCACTTGTCTATCTTAGTTTTTAAGGCATTTGCTTTTGGGGACTTAGTCAAGAATTTGTTGCCTACTCTGATGTACATGAGAGTGTTTACTATGTTTTCTTCTAGAATTCTTATAAGTTTTATGTTTTGGTCTTTGATCTGTTTTAAGTTTATTTTTTTTTATATGGTGATAGATGGAGGTCTAGTTTCATTCTTCTGCATGCCAGCCAGTTTTCCAGCATCATTTGCTAAATATGGTCTTTTCTCCCCAGTGGTTGTTATTGGTGGCTTTGTCGAAATGAGTTGGTTGAGAGACTGAGATTTTGCTTCTGGAATCTCTGTCCAGTTCCACTGGTGATTTGCTGGCTTTAAATGGTAACAGCTTTCAGCTACTACATATAATTTAGTCAGTAAACTCAGCCTCTCAGCTTTCCTTCCCTCTTCAGCTGTCAACTGTTATTCACTGTATCACTCTATATACAGGCACATCCTACTTTATTGCACTCTGAAGATATTGTGTTTTTTTAAAAATGGGACGTCTGGGACAACCATGCATTGAACAAGTCTATCGGTGCCATTTTTCCAACAGCATGTGCTCACATTGTGCTGCTGTTATGTTTTGGTAATTCTCACAATATTTCAGGCTTTTGTATTATGATTATGATTATGATTATTATTATTATATCTGTTGTGGTTATCTGTGACCAGTGGTCTTTGATGTTACTATTGTACTTGTTTTAGGGTGTCACAAATCATGCCCATATAGGATGGTGAACTTAGTAAATGTGTTGTGTGTTCTGACTGGTCTACTGACTGGCCATTCTCTCCTCAGACCTCCCTTTTTCCTGAGCTACAACAATATTGACATTTAGCCAATTAATAACCCTACAGTGGCCTCTAAGTGTTCAAATGGGAGAAAGAGTTGCACATCTCTTACTTTAAACCAAAAGCTAGAAATGATTAAGCTTAGTGAGGAAGGCATTTTAAACACCAAAACAAGCTGAAAGCTAGGCTTCTTGTGCCAAACAGTTAGCCAAGTCATGAATGCAAAGGAAACATTCTTGAAAGAAATTCAAAGTGCTAATCCATTGAATGAACAAATGCTGAGAAAGTGAAATATCCTTATTGCTGATATGGAAAAAGTTTCTGTAGTCTGTATAGAAGATAAAACCAGCCACAACATTCCCTTAAGCCAAAGCCTAATCTAGAGGAAGACCCTAACTCTCTTCAATTCTATGAAGGTAGAGAGAGGTTGAGAAGATGTAAGATGCAGAAGAGATGGTAGAAGTTAGCGGAGGTTGGTTTATGACGTCCAAAGAAAGAAGCTGTCTCTACAACATAAAAGTATAAGGTGAAGAAGCAAGTGCTGTTGGAGAAGCTGTAGAAAGTTCTCCAGAAGATCTAGCTAAGATGACAGTGGCTACTGATAGATTTTCAATGTAGACCAAGCAACTTTATTTTAGAAGAAGATGCCATCTGGGGCTGCTGCCAAAGCTAGAGAGGAGAAGTCAATGCTTATCTTAAAAGTGTCAAATGATAGGTTAACTCTCTTCTCAGGGGCTAATGCAGCTGGCGACTTCAAGTTGAAGCCAATGCTCATGTACCACTCAGAAAACCCTAGGACCCTTAAGAATGATGATAAATCTACTCTGTCTGTCCTCTATAAATGGAGCAACAAAGCCTGGATGACTGCACAATTACATACAGCATGGTTTACTAAATATTTTAAGCTTACCATTGAGAACTGCTTCTCAGAAAAAAAAAATTCCTTTCCAAATATTACTGTTCATTGACAATCTACCTGGTCATCCAAGAGCTCTGATGGAGCTGTACAAGGAGATGAATGCTGCTTTCGTGTCTGCCAACACAATATCCATTCTGTAGCCTATGGATCAAAGAGTAATTTTGACTTTCAAACCTTATTATTTAAGAAATACATTTGTAAGTTTATATCTACCATAAATAGTGATTCCTCTGATGGATCTGGGAAAAGTGAATTGAATATCTTCTGGAAAGGATTCACTATTCTAGATGCCATCAAGAACATTAACATCAGTGCTTAATGTGAGAAGGTCAAAATATCAACATTAGCAAGAGTTTGGAAGAAGTTCATTCAAAGACTCGTGGATGACTTTAAGAGGTTCAAGACTTAAGTGAAAGAAGTCATTCGGATGTGGTGGAAATAATAAGAGAACTAGAATAAGAAGAGGAGCCTGAAGATGTGACTGAATTGCTATAATTTCATGATAAAACTTAAATGGATGTGGTGTTGCTTCTTATGCTTAAGCAAAAAAAAAAAAAAGGTTTCTTGAAATGGAATTGACTCCTGGTGAAGATGCTTGTGAACATTGTTGAAATGACAACAAAGGATTTAGAATACTAAATAAACTTAGTTGATAAAGCAGTGGCAGGGTTTGAGAGGATTGACTCAATTTTGAAGTAAGTTCTTCTGTGGGTAAAATGCTATCAAACAGCCTCACATGCTACAGAGAAATTTTTCGTGAAAGGAGGAATCAATGGATATGGCAGACTTCATTGTTGTCTATTTTAAGAAATCGCCCCAGCCAGCCCAACCTTTAGCAACCACCATTCTATTCAGTCAGCACCATCAACATCAAGGCAAAACTCTCCACCAGCAAAAGATTATGACTCACTGAAGACTCAGATGATTGTTAGTATTTTTATACAAAAAAATTTTTAATTAAGCTATGGACATTTTAAGGACATATGCAATTATATTCTTAGTGGACTACCGTATAGTATAATATAACTTTTATATGCACAGGGAAACCAAAATTCGAAGGAGCACCCCAAAAACTATGGAATTTTCTTTTGGGGGGCAGACATCTTATAGGATAGGCTTCCCCTACTGAGAGTGTTCTAGGAACTCATTGGTTTCAGTGGACCAGCTAGCGTTGTTGTGAGAGGATGCATTTGGTTTCAGGGAATTTTTCTGGAGATTCTGCCTTGCAGTTCTCTTCAAAGATTCCTAGAGGTGGTTATTTCATAGGTGGTCACAATTTTTGTGTAGTTTAGGAAACATTTTTATGGTGGATTTCTTTCTTCCATCATTAAACTTTACTATTTTTTTTTTTTGAGTTGGAGTCTCACTCTGTCGCCCAGACTGGAGTGCAGTGGCCACTCCCGGCCACCGCAACCTCGACCTGCTGGGCTCCAGCGATCCTTCCGCCTCAGCCTTCCAAGTAGCTGGAACTACAGGCACGCCCTACCATGCCCGGCTAATTTTTGATTTATTGTAGAGATGAGGTCTTGCCAAGTTGCCCAGGCAGGTCTTGAACCCGCGGGCTCAGGCAATCCACTCACCTCAGCCTCCCAAAGGTGCAGGATTACAGGCTGAGCCACTGAGCCTTGCTTAACTTTACTATTGTGTTCACAATTTTTCTTATGGAAGATTTATATTTATGCCAGGCTACCTTTTTCAAATACTTGACCCCAAGCAAACTGGATATTCTTGAACCAGCTGTCTACCACATGGAGTTGGGAAGAGGACAGCAGGGTAAGGCAGGGTGTCCCCTTCCAACCAGCGCATCTTGACTGTCTTCGTTTCTGCAATGAGGGCTTC